TTTTTATTTCAATTAATTAGTATCGTCTCGAACACCATTAAGAATTAGAAGCTCACTAGAGTGACTACAGCAAATCCGTGAAACTTTAGTAATACTCAATAGCACAATTTCATGAAAATTCCATTGTTTTCTATTGTTTAACTAGCACTATTTTGTACTATTTAGTAATTAGTGTTTCACGGATTTACTGTGGTCACTCTACAGAGCTTGCCCACCATTTAACTAGTAAAGCTATGATAATCCAGAAAGAAAGAAAAAAGACTGAAGCTGTCTGATAAATAAAGGAGGTGTGACAAGGCGCACTTCAGTCCGATCGATAGCCAAGTGTAAGATACAATAAGTAAGTGAAAACATAGTTAACCTTCAAAGGGATAGGTTATTGTTTGAGTTTTGGAAAGTCACGTGACAATGACCGTGCACACAAAATCCAAGATGGCATCAATACAATACAATACAATACAATTTTATTTGCTCATACAAGAAAATTTACATGAAATGTGAAAAACAACTATAGAAGACAACTAAGAAAATAAAGAATAGATAATTGTCAAAAGAACATAATTCAGAGCCTGGGGTCTAAATTAACCATAAGGTTTTCGAGTTAGACCCCAGCAATTTAAAATTTAACATTGGAGTAAACTGAAGAAGAACCAAGTACATAAAAAATAATTACAATTTAACTGAACAATAAAACTGTTAATCGTTCTAACATGTTGTTGTTTAATTATGAGTTTGAAATTTTAAGATAGTATAAGCGGATTTATCGGCTTTAAAACGTCCCAAAAAGTAATATCGTACTTATTAATAAGAAAGAATGCCTGGTGACAACTGGTCAATATTTGGTTGCGAAACATGTCGCAGAACTGTGTCACCTCTATTTACTCTACGGTGAAAAATACATGAAGTATCTCACTAAATATATGGGCCACATCTTAAAACCAAGCTGGTCACAGGTGCCCAGTGAGGCAATGATGCATCATTTTTTCAATAACCATAAAAAATCTGAAGATCTTTAATTTTTTAATGAATACTGATATGCTTTACATGTGTAGACCTTAATTCCATTGTTTTCTTTTGTGTCTATTTGACTATTACACGTTGACTAGTATTTATTATTTCACGGGTTAAATGCCTTAACTCTGGTATGTGTATATAGTTCCATTATATAGATATGTATTCCTCACCGATAGACCTTTTGCTCCGCGACTCTACTTAGCCTATTGTATGTCCGAAAAGAAGCTTTTTAAATGGCATTTTTGCATTGGCACCAATTTACATTCAATTGCCCTATTTCACTATGACGTCACTGCTTGTTTATGTGGGGGATAGAATCGCCAAATCCAATAAAAAAATTCAACAAAATTTGCTCCTAGCGAAACAGTTTAATCTAAAATGGACCTGATTTTCAGATATAATATGTGTTAATATGTACTAAAAAATATTCTGAGCGTTTGATGGCTATTCTACTTCTCTTCGTGGATTGATACGGGTTTTAGAACAATTTTCGGTGTATTTGCGTTGATTTGACCCCCTCCGACGACCATGATCCTTTGCGTTTAAACAATAGATTGTTTTGATGTGACGTCATAGTGAAATAGGGCAATTGAAATTGCTCTAGTAATATCATGAATTAGTGCAAAAGAGTCAAGGTAATTAAAATCGCGGAAGTCAACTAATATCTGAAATATCCTCAAAAGACTGATGATCACTAGGCATCCATGACCTTCACATAGTAAGAGGCGGTGGCCCGCACGGGAACCTTTTGTTCAGCAAGGACGAAAAAAATGCTTCTTTGGCTTATATACTTGAAAAATATCATGCAGTAAAATCATAAGAATCGTGTAAAATTTTATAAGCGTATTCAAAAATGCGGGCAACAAAATCCTAAGTTTAAATATTGGTAGGGAATTCCATTTCAGGGGGACGGGAGATCAATCAAGGAAATTGATTTTGAATGGGGATCGGAGGGGTGTGTTGTTGCTTTCAAAAATTCCCAAGAAATTTAGAAATTAAGTATTCATACGCCATTAGACGAAATTAGGTTTTGTTGTTGCAATCTTCGGGAGAGCACTGGCAAAGACTCATGCATGGGGAGTTTGGCTCTCAAGCATTCATACATCCTTTTAAGTAACTCGCTTCAGACCTAAGCTGTTTCGGGGTGAGTCATCCAAACATGCAGACTTCCACGAACCATCGACACTTTTTTGTCCATCTCCATTCCTTTTTTTAGAGGAAACGGAATATTGGGAATGTAAGCCAGCGTGACCCACAGGCGTAATGAGATCTGAGTTTGGGGGGAGGGGGAGGGGG